CCCCCAAACTCCTGTCCTGAAAGGAGTGCGGCGCTTGACGTGCCCACGCCCTGCCGGCCCGCTGAGCCCTGACAGGATGAAGTCTGAAGTTGCGCCTCCTTTGCAGACCTCCCCTACGGCCTGCGGGCCTGCCGCGGCCGCACAGATGTTTTTACTAGGCGTTTGCTTCACTTTGGTTCTCACCCAGCCCTTTGCTATTTACAATTTTGTTTGCTGGCTCGTCAGGCGCCCGGAACACCCTCAGCCGCGCGGCCTGTGCGCGGCGTCCAGACCCTGCTTAGCTCCGGCCCGCTGGTGCCCCGGCCCCGGTGTTGCCCTTCGCCTCCCCGGGGGAGCCCCGCGCCGCCCGCAGTTAAGCCACGAGCCAGGGTGGGTTCCGCCGCCTCGACGGCCCGGGTTCCCCGAGGGGAGCTGTGGGTCGGAGGCTGAGCGGCGCCCCGGAAAAGCTTGAAGCTCGGGTCTCCGGCTTCTCCATGAGTGGAGGGGTTGCTAAGAGCCCCCTTGTCCTAAAGTTGTGTGGGGCGGGGAGGGGAGGTGGCTTCCTAAAAACGCTTCTTCCTCCTAAACACTCACCGTGGTGGGTGCTCTACCGTCACAGCGGCTCTGATGTGATGGACTCTGAAAGCCCTGACCTGTATTTAGTAAAACGGTTGATCAGGAGATCAGTTTGCCTGTGTTGACAGCCTCCCCGGGTGCGCACTCTGGGCCGGGCCCACGAGGAAGCCGGCTGGAAGCCCTGCAAGGGTCTATCAGTTGGGAGATCTGGAAGGCAGAGGTCACATAGGCCACGGGGGAAGTGGGGAGATTGCTTTCCTCACCGTGATGAGGGCTGTGTATCAACCTGGGGTCTAAAGTTTGTAAAACATGAAGGGAAACGCAACAAAAAAGGCAATTTCGGGATCGAAGGTGGCCTGAGATTCAGCTTTTTCTTGTCTGAAAACTGGGAACCGTGTATATTGTTATATAAGTATATAATTTGAGGCAGGGTTGGAAATGGAGGGGAGTTTGGAGTATGCAGTAGGCAATATGAGCCTTTTTGAAATGAAATTTGAAATAGGTTTTGGCCAGGCAGTCCTTCTAATTACTACTATGGTTTTTCTTTATTTCTGGAGACTCTGAGGCAGGGGACAGGTGAGGAGAGAGAAATTCAAACTAATTTGCATTAGAAAGAAACTGAGGGTGAAGAATTTCTAGGTAAGGTTGCTATGGCTGATATCTTAAGTGCACTGCTGGAAAGCATTCTAGTCTGTTAAGTAATACCTGAAGCCCCAGTTCTGTTATGTAGCATTTCTTCTCTCTTTAACTGCTCTGAAACTATACAGAGTTACACATTCCTCATTAATTTATGAGCGATACCAAAAGAATTCACTCAGTCCAACAAGTATTTGAGGGCCTTTCCTGTCTGAGGCGCTTTGCTGAGAACTGCAGGAGACTGGACGACGGAGGAATTTTCCAATTAAAACAACAGCAACAACAGTGGACTGACTTGTAAAGCGTAGATGCAGGGGTGCACTGCCTGTTCAAGTTAAAGTCAAAAATAGTTGGGCTTTCACTCAGTCTAAATGCCATATGTGGGCCCTGATATCCTAATCATTTAGTAATTTTTCTACCATTGCGTGTAGTCTGCATTTTAGTAATTTCGAAGTACAAGGTTTCCTAGAAAATATAACTAAATAAGAAAGTAATTCTGTTTTCCCTAGGGTTTGCATTACCACTGAGTTAATGAAGGCAAAATCAACAAAAATTAGGAGATAATGATTTTCTGTCCTTTGGTTTCAAACTAGTGAAATATTGCACAAAAGAAGACGAAGTCAACGTGGATAAATTTAATCCTCTGGTACTTCCCAAACTATGTCTTATCTAAGTCTGTCCTTTTGGAGGCTAGATCCAGTTTCGTGCACTCTTTCAGTCCTTCTTTTGGAAGATTGTTGCAGTGGCCAATTTCATAAAATCTTTCATTGTAGATACGAGAAGACATCAACATCATCATCATCTCCCTAACTTTACCCTTGAAAAGTGTTGTTTTCTAAGGGACTTTTGGGAGGGGACAGGTCTTTTTTAAAATCTGGCCAAAGTTAGGGACTTTATCCCTAGGAAAAAATGCACACCCGTTCAGAATATTGTGTGTTTTCTGGAGGATCCATGGTGTCTCGCTTCAGAACAGGGCAGTGAGTAAGTCAGAGGGTAGGTAGATGGAGGGAAATGGAAATGAAACAAGGATGTGGGTAAATCCACGAACTGTGGATATAATTTAATTAACTTTCAAGTGGAATCAATACCTGGCCTTGTTAGTACTTGTTCTGTGAATGGGAAGTAATAATTGTATTATTTGTAAAAGACTAAAGATAAGTTAGTCCTATTACTTTTTAGTTGATTGAGATCAGCTTTTGTCTTGAGCATTATGAATCTCATTTTTCCATTTTTCTTGTTCTTCTCAAGGAAAGAGATGACTTCTCCCAGCACTGAGGCCTCGTTCGGGACAGTTTCTCACACACCAACTTCTGGGAATGGTTGGGTTCAGAATTTGAGCTTGCTCGCTCTCTCACAGATACACGTACTGGTAGTTCACCTTTGGGAAGGAGATACAGATATTTATATTACATAGTTATCTAGTCAGTGTAAACCACTGTGATAGCAGTAGTCGTGTCTTGGGAGAGAGTTTGTTAGTATTAGGAGTAAGCAAACAGCATTAAGAATATTTTGGATATGACTTCTTTTTAAGACCAAACCAGAACCGCTGGACTGACTTTCCTTCTTCTGTTCCCAGGGCCAAGGCTCGAGCTGTCCCTCCTCCAGCTCTCAGTGTCACTGAACCACACCCAATCTCCCATCTGGGGACCCTGTCCCCTGCTCCTTGTGTTGCACGTTGGATCTGGGTAAGTAGAGGAACTGGTGAAATGGGAGAGTGAGTCATAGGTAGTGATGGATTTACCTGGACGGCAGGATTCTTCATTTCTGGAGGCCTGCATCCCCAGCACTTCTGGGGAGAAGAGGGTAAGAGAGAGAACAGCAGGGCCAGCCCAGCTCACTCCCTCCTTTTAACTTGAATCAGGACTAACCTAACTGATCCTTCGATGTGAACCAGTTTTGACTTACCTTATTTTTGAGTGACAACTAGGTGGCTGGTCACACCCTAGAATGTCATTGATAGACATTAATGGGATTAGTAAATCAGTGGAGATTGTGGTTTTAATCCAAGCTCTGCCCTTAACTAGGTACGTGATCTTCGGCAAGTAACCAGTCAGTTAAATTCTCTGGGCCTTAATTTTTCTGTGTATAAAATGAGGGTGTCATATGGGATCAGTAAAGTTCTCACTACTACTGTGTGGTTCTATGCATTTGAATCACCTGGAGAATTTATTTTAAATATATATGTACACTAGGTCAGAGATTCTGATTTTTTGGACTGGGGCAGGCTCAGACATCTCTATTTTTTTAAAGTACCCCCACCCCACATCCTTCAGGAAACATTAAATCCAGCTAAGATTGAGAATGACTGGGTTAAATAAATGCTAAGAACTGACTCTAAGATCATGTCACTTAAAGACAGAAAAGCAGGCCTGTAAAATCTGTTTTATGGGTAGCTTGGCCCCGCATCACCTACACTCCCTGGTAACCAAGCCTAAACGTGCCTTTCTAAGAAGCATCCAAATCAAGCAGTTTAAATTTACTCGGGGAGGATGCTGTGGCTTCCCACCGCCTCAGTATTCCCACAGTGCTTCGTACATTTTGATGGACTGCATTCAGTGTAGCTCCACCCATCTAAAATGATTAGCTGTTCCTGAAGGTCCCCAGAGATGGTTCTCTCTCTCCTCTCGGTATCCAGGTCAGTGTTTAATGGCCTCTTGAAAGTTTCTCTTAGAGGTGACCTGTGACCTTCAGGGGTTGAGGAGAAGGTGCCAGCAAGGGATAAGGATGATCACAGTGATCATTGCTGAAATGTGAGCTTCTGTGTCCAAACTGAGATAAAAAAATGATCCTCACACCTTCTCAAGTAGGTGTATACTATTGAGTTACCAGAACTGGGATAGGAAACAAAAGAGCACATTGTTTACCTTCATCATTTGTTGAGACCTAATCTTGTTGCCATTACATTGTAAATTCTATAGATGTTCACACTTTGAACATTATTCTTAGATTTAAAAATAGAAGTTGTTTAATTGTAATCCATGAAGTTTATTTCTGTTTATCCTACTCTTATTTTCCTCCCACTGCCCTTCGTATCCCAAAACTCCTGGAAGGAAAAAAAAATGTATATATGTGTGACTGTCAGGTCAGTAAAGAGAAGTGGATGTAAGTGTACAAAAGATGGAAAGACATTAAGGAGGAAGGGTAGAACAAGGGTAAGGAGGTCCATGGATTGCAAGAAGCTACACTTAATTTCTTTTCTCTCTCCTATTGGTATTAGAGCTGCTACATGCTGTTTAATGTTTAAGCAAATCATATTCCACCTGTGTGTTGGTAAATATGGGCTTGTGGCCCATGATCCCTGTGTGCTCCCTGCGTCTTCTATACACAGTGCATGAGTGGCATCTTAATGGGTGAGTTGGCAGCCTGGACGTACTCAGTCTGATCTGATCAGCACTGATCTATCCCAGGACCTGACTTAATCCTGAAGAATGTCTAAGTTTGGGGAATATTATTTTCTGGAATGGAAAGCTCCTGGCACCAGAGCTCTTTACCTTTGTGTCTCAGAGGAAGTGCCCTTACATGGTGTGAAAAATCGGATGGAGAACTGGAGACCCAGCTCAGCCCGCACCTCTCCATCCCCCTAGAGCTGGTTGCACTCACTCAAAAAAAATTCTAAGTTTGGATGCACTTCATGTTTATTGCTGAACATTGTACCCAAGGATTTACTGATATTGGGAACCTGTTGTTTTATTATTTCATAATTTATTCTTTACTTCTTAAAATGAATTAAGATAGGAATAAATGTACTAGGAAAAGATGGTTTTTATCATCATAACTTTAAAGCTAATGAAAACCTTAATTCTTACTAAACGCCCAGTTACGTGTTTCCATGTAAGCATTTGTCCTCCCACAAATCTAACTTTTGAAGATAGTATAGTCAGGGTTGTTCTGGTTCTTAGGATTATCATTAGTTTGCTTTTTAATCTTTACTTCCTCAAAACAGTTAATGTTGCAAGGTAATTAGAAATGATAGCAGTTTCTTCACGAGTCCCTGTTTCATTGAACACTTTAACAGCAGTCTCCAAAGCTAGCAGGGGTTTTCATTTTTTCCTTCCTTCCTTCCTTCCTCCCTTGATTCACTCATCCATTCAGCAAATGTCTAATGAATTTCTGGTCTGTCCCTGTCCTCATGTAGCTCTCATTTTTGTGAAGGGAGGAGAGAAGACAGAAAATAAGTAAAATACAGTGTGGGCCAGATGGTGATACATGCTATGGAGAAAAATAAAGCTGGGAGGAGGGCAGGGAAGGAGTTGGCTGGCAATGTTTAAAATATTTAAAATCGGGTGGCCTGAGGAGATGATGCTGAGCATAGAACTGAAAGTGGTGAACAAAGTCCTGACGCTCTCTGGGAGTGGAGCTTCTAGCCGACACGGAGGCCCTGAGGCGGGGATGTGAACACAAAACAGCCAGGAGGTCTGAGTGGCTGGAGCAGAGTGATGGGGGGAAGTAGATGGAAATGAAATCAGCAAAGAAAGGGGCGCCTGGGGGGCGGGTTTGGGAGGGTCGGGAAGGTCTTGGAGGGGCTTTTTAGTGGGATGCTTGCAAGGTGACGTCAAAGAACAGCAGCCCTGTGGTCTCCATTTCTTCTGTTCCACCCTCTGGATGTCCCCAGTGTTCCTTTTTCTCAGCCTCTCCCCGTTCTTTCCCTTGTTCCTTCATCCCCAGGGCTGGCTCTGGGGTGGAGTTCAGTCTCCTGATCTTTGTTTTCTTGGTACCCAGATTAGACCTGCTCTTCCTTTTTGAAAAATCTGCCATTAGTCACTAAAGAATTGTCAGCACCAAAACCAGCAATCAGGAGAGAAATTAATAAATGTATACAAAATATATCCTCAGTTTATACTGTAGCCCAGATATAAAGTGATAGCATTGCTGGTGGATAGTATTTGGACTGTGTGTTTTGTTGGGTCTGCACACTGTTTTATAAAAATTTGTGTTGGTATCCATCATTTAAAAATTAAGAACGTTTTTGTTAAAATACAGTTGCAAGTTCTCTTTGAAAATTGAATGTTCTGTTTTTAGGAAGCTCTGGAATAAGCAAAGCTAATCTCTGGTGGTAGAAAACAGAACTGAGGCTGCCTGACATGGGGGTGTGACAGGGAATGAACTGGGTAGGGTCACCAGGGGAAATTCTGGATGATGAAAAGATTCTGTTTATAGTGGTCTGCAATGTATGGTAAAATGCATTGAACCATACAGTGATCTGTGCAGTTCACTCTGTGTCAGTTGAACCTCAGTATGAAGAGAGTATAAAGTGGAAGCCAACATTCCATGAGGGCTGGATAGCACTGACCACGTTGGGCTTACACGTGCTCTCAAGATTGGCATAGACTCACCTGGTTCACTTCAGTCACTGTCATTACCTACCTGGTCTTGTAGGTGGTATTCGTGTGTGATTCCTGCAGTAGACTCTTGGCGGTTTAGGTTTCAATGAGGAACAAATCTGAAAGGGCCTGACGTGTTTAATTGGTGGTAGAGAATTTAGTACCTGCCTCCTAGGGTTGTATGTGAAGCATGGAACCAAAACATAAACCTGAAAGCTTAGATCAGTCAAGCAGCTCACCTGCGTCCATCTCACCATTCGTGGAATTCTCAAATCTGGGTCCTCAGAGGTCTCCGAACGTGACTCTCCCTTTTCCTCTCAAATGCAAGGGTCTCCTGTGTTTGCAGACTCCTCCTCTGAGAGGATAACTTTCACTCCTGTTATCAGCACTTTAAACTTACTTTTATCATGTTTGTTATGAAAATAATAGTGTCTACTGAGGAAGTCCTAGAAAGTACAGACAAAAAGGAAATTAAAATTATCCACAGTTCCACACATAACCTGTTTTCCATTTCGTGGGAAGTGCTTTCAAATTCTTCTGCATACATGTGTATGTTTTATATTAAAAATGTGTTTGCTAGGTAAAGTTTAGCGTACAGCCACCCAGTTTTCAAAATGAAAAAATAATAGCAAGTTAAAGATTAACGATGATAGATAAAACCCACATTTGCCTTTCCTCTATCCTGTAACTCTTTTTAAGTGCCTGTGATGTTATGCACATAATAGGAAGAACTCTGAAGAGAATGAGATGGCTGAATGTTTGAAGGCAAGTTACTGATGAAACAGAACGAAGAGTTGGTACAAGAAGGACCACCATGGAAGGGAGAGTGACCTTCCAGAAGGAAGCTCTGGACATGGAGTCAGCAAGGACAGGAGCAGGCATGAGCAGGGGGGCCTGAAAGCAGAGAGACTGACGGAAAGTCTTTATGGATTGGTTAAAGTGAACCAGTAATTCTAATATGAGTTTGGCATCGTAGAATAAATCTTTTCTCTTTCTGGCGTTTGGAAAGAGAGTGCGCCCTTGCCTGCAGGCCAGCTCTTGACTCCTCATCCTAAAGTCAGGCTAGGCAGCTAAGAGCCTACGCTGCTGTACAAACCTCCTAATCACCATTTCACTCAGGGAAGGACCCCATCCTGGAAACACTTGTATACATGATAGTAAAGTGACCCCAATTAACCAGAAAAGTTAATGAAGTCTTTATTTAAAATACATATCTAAGACAAGAACAACCTGACATATGAAGGAGCCTTAAAAAAAACACCACCACCACCACCAAAATTGAGGTGAGGGTATAGCTCAAATGGTAGAGTGCATGCTCAAGGTCCTGCATTCAATCCCCAGTATCGCCATTAATAATAATAATA